ATTCAGGACAATAACAAGGGGTAGGTGGGTGAGTAAGCTCAGATGTCCTCTGTTAACTGCTAATTATTTCTTTGTAAAGAAGCCCATACTACACTTTGGAAATATCTGCTATAAGGTATATGTTGCTATACCTAACCTGAGACCATAAAACTTGAAGGAGCCCCTCTGTTTATATATGCCTATACAAAAACACAAATTATTTTAAACTAAGGTTTTATACATATACACTGAGAACAGATATGGGAGAGAGGACATCAGTTAAAGTGAATGTTGCCAGGCTTTTCTCCACATCAAATATTCACCATGCCTGAACTGCCAAGATCTGAGCCTCAACTGACCTGGCAATTCAGTACCTGTCCTACAATAAAGTAGTTAGTGGTGTCTAGTTTTTAGTGCTAGAATGAAAACATAATATAGGTTCAGTTTCCCTTATCCAAAATGCTTGGGACCAGAATTGGATTTTGAAGTTTTTTGGATTTTGGAAATTTGCATATATATAAGGAGACATCTTGGAGATGGAATCCAAGTCTAAGTAAGCATTGCATTTATTTATATTTTGTAACACTTTATACACATAGCTTGAAGGTGATTTACAGCAAAATCCAAACACCTCTTTGATACTGTCAAAATTAAAATGTAAAAAGCAACATGTTTTAGGTGTTTCAATTGTTGAGGATACTTTTTAAACCTCATAATAGCCAGGTCTGTACGCAATCTGAATAAGTATTCAGACAATCTGTAAGTGCGAGTGTAGAGAGCAAATGGTCCTGCCAAAGTCAACAAATACATAAGAAATCATGGACAGTATAAAATCTTTCATTCACTAAAGAAAAATGAAACATTTAATGATTAACCAACTTATTTGTAAGGCAAGTAATAGAAATTTATTTCAATTAATGGCGTTTAGAACAAAGGAATGAACATGTACAGCCCATGATTTAAAAAAAAAAATTAGATTCATGAAGTTGAGAGCATTAAACTCATTACACTCTTTAGTCCTGAACATGTTGCCTTCCTAGTGTGGCCTGAGGGGGAAAAAAATGAAATTTGTAAATATATCAGATATGCAAACAGAAACGGAAAATTGCTCAAGCACTTGATTGTAAAGGATGGAGTTTGTGAGATATGTGATAGATAAAATATTAACCAAAATGTTATGTTATAAGAGGAATTATTTGCTGGAAAGTATCCTGTTTTCACTTTTCCACAAGGCTCATTACTAGCAATTGCTAAAATAAATTACATAACAATTTGTAAAGGAATAGCAAGTGCTATAAAAATCATTAATTTTAGAAGCAAGTATTTCAAAGTGAGGGGAATATTTGTCCTTTCAAACACACTCTTTCTTCCACCAGTAGATTTACCCTTTTGTGGCTTTAAAAAAGTCAAGCTTGTTTCTGGAAGTCTAGATAGGAGAAAAATTGCCTCTTCCACTCTGGTTCTCACACTTACCTGAAAACGTGTACCACTGACAGTTTCTCATGCAGGAACAAGATGTTGAGCCTGACAGCAAAAAGCAGCTGTGAAGACCTGAGGTGCTAACTTCACCCAGCAATCAATCTACACACAGTGAACACATACACACACTGAAAAAGAACTCTATTGCCATTTTGAAAAGAAAAAAAAAACCCGAACAGATGGCAAGCCAGGTATTACAGCAATGCTCCAGAGCAGGGCTTCTCAAAGTGTCACAGCAGTCTCTGCTAAGTCAAGAAACAGTGGGGTGGGGTGGGGGAGAAAGCAGATAACTGAGGCGGATTCACATGACCATTGAAGGCTTATTTTCCATTGGTGGTATTTTTGTTTGTTTGTTTGTTTGTTTTAGCCAGCTTTCACCAAATGAGAAGATAGTGAAGCAACCCTTTGAGAGTCCTCTAGTACAGCTTACTAGTGATTTAGCAGATTGTGACAAAATAATGTGAAAGTCAAAGGGAGTCAGGTGCTATATTTCACTTTCCAAGGCGCTTCTGATTCCTCCTCCCCATAGTATGTTAGAGCACCAAAAGTGCCAGTTCAGAATGATGAAAAGCTGAATGCCATGATCTACACAGAGTATGCAAATTAAAAATGATTGTGTGAATTTCTTTACATCATATAATTTGTTCTGTGTTTGCAAGCCATAAGGAAGGTGGCAAAGAGCTACTGAGGACACTGAAGCCTTGGCTCCAGATTCCTGAAGTCTTATTTAGCAACTTCTATGTCTTCTGATATGCCCATACATTTTCAAGCATTTTCTTGAAATGATAAAGGCTAGAAACCAGACACTTTTCAGATGCCTACTTCTGTATATGTATTGTCTTCATCAGAATCAGTGTGGTACAGTGATTTGAATACAAGACTAGGTAGGTGTCTAGCAACCAGGGTACAGCCATGAAAATCCAGTGGTTGACCTTGAATAAGTCACTCTCTCTGAACCTCAGAGAAAGGCAATGCCAAAGCCCCTCTGAACCAATCTTGCCAACCAAGATATTTGCATTAGGTTCAGAAGTGAGTGGTGGCCTCCTACCTCAAGAGGTTTCTGGATGAAATGGATTATCTAGATCTATTTCAACTTGGCTTCAGGCCTGCCTATGGGAAAGAGGCAGCTTTGGTCTATGATCTATGCAAGGAACTAGACGGGGGAGTGTGTCTCTGCTGGTTCTACTGGACCTCTCATCGGCTTTTGATACTATCAATAATGGAATCCTTCTGGGCCACCTCTCTGAGATGGGACTTGGGAGCACTGTTATGCAACAGGTCCAGTCTTTCTTGGAGGGACCAACTCAGAAGATAGTGCTGGGGGGCCCTGTTCGACTCCCTGGTCATTTGCTTGTCGAGTCCCACAGGGTTATATTTTGTCTCCCATGCTGTTTAGTGTGTATGTGAAAGCGCTGGGAGAGATCATGTGGAATTTTGGGGTGTGGTATCATCAGTATGCAAATGACACCCAACTCTTATCCTTCCATTCCAACCGATTCCAAGGAAGCTGTCTCTGTACTGAAACAATGTCCACTGTCAGTAATGGACTGGATGAGGGCAGCCAAATTGAAACTTAATCCAGACAAGACAGAGGTACTCCTGGTCAGTCAAAAGGCAGATCAGGGAACAGAGACTTTGCCTGTGCTGGATGAAATTATACTCCCCTTGAAATCTCAGGCTCACAGACTGGGTGTTTTCCTGGACTCATCTCTGAGCCTGGATGCCCAGTGGCCAGGAGTGCATTTTCACAGCTAAAACTAGTGTGCCAGCTGCACCTGTTCCTTAAGACTTGGCCATGGTGACACATGCTTTGATTGCTTCCATTTGGACTACTGCATGGAGCTGCCTTTGGAAACTGTTCTGAAACTTCAGTGGGTTCAAAATGTGACAGCCAGAATAGTGACTGGAGCCAGTTACAGGGAGCATGTAACTCTATTGTTGAAAAGGCTTCACAGGCTACTGCTTGGTTTCCAGACACAATTCAAAGTGCTGGTCATGACTTACAAAGCACTATACGGTTTTGGTTCAGACTATCTAAAGGACCGTATCTCCCCATACAAACCTACAAGAAGTCTAAGATCTTCTGGGGAAGGCTTTCTCTCTGTCCCGCCACCATCACAGGCTCACTTGGTGAGGACACGAAAGAGATCATTTTCAGTTGCTGCTCCCACACTCTGGAATTTCCATCCATGGGAGACTTGGCTGGCTCCCTCTCTGCTTTCCTTCTGCCAGTAGGTAACAACATTTTTATTCAAGTAGGTTTTTAATATATAATCTTTGTCAGGGAGACTTTTATATATGTGTGTGTGTTCTATTTGTGTGTTGTTGTTTTTAATTTTTGTGTAACACAGTGTGGTGAAGTGATCTGAGTGTTGGACTATGACTCTGAAGAACAGGGCTTGATTCCTCACTCAGCCATGAAACCCACTTGATGACCTTTGGCAAATAACATGCTCTCAGCCTTGGGGAAGGCAATGACAAACCTCCTCTCAACAAATCTGGCTAAGAAAACCCCATTATAGGTTTTCCTTAGAGTCACCATTAGCCAGAAATAACTTGAAGGCACACAACAACAACATTGGGGGTAAGCTGTGTTGGTCATGCAGTAAAGTACAATAACATCCCAAATCCACAAAACAGTGATACCTTTACTGAGCCAACCAAAATGCATGGAATACATGTTGCAAACTTTCGAAGCTTCACTGGCTTCTTCATCAGGAAAGGTGTTAAAAATCATACGGGGGGGGGGGGGAAATGACAATGTTAGTAACAAGCCTGGATTTTGTTAAGATGCAGCTGTTCTGAGTTCAGGGAGTATAGAGGGACATTCATGCAGGCTGGCCCCTCCTTATTCTGACCATGTGGGTATTTATTTTCAGGAAACACAGTTTAAATTCCATTAGCAAGGCAAAAAAAGATGCTCCTTTTGAAATCCAAGTTGTCTCCATCCTTTGTGAAGCTACAAGCTCCTTTGTTAGGCAGAGAACACTGAATTTCTAAATAAGCCCTCCATGTTTTTGCATTAGGAAACATTTTTAGGTGCTGTTTTGATAAAACACACCTAATGTAATCCAAATTTCTTTAGAAATTCTTCTTTAGAAATGCAGTTATGTGATATTATATTATGTTATGTTATATTAGCTTTCCTTGTCCCTACACACTAGTAGTTGAAGAGTTGCATTCAGGGTTCTGACTCGATTTCTGTCACCTTTTACTTTTGTTTCTCATCTGTCCTTAAGTGCTTAAAAACTTTCATCTGTCATTGAGGCTTCTCTTTCTTTTTGGCTACAGACAGTGTCTTTTTGCTTTCTGATTAATTAAGTACTCAGACAGTAAATCTCTATAGAGGCTTTTGTTGTTGTTGTTGTTGTTTTTCTTCTTGTTGTTGTTATGTGCTTTCAAGCTGTTTCCAACTTACGGTGGCCCAAAGGTGAACCTATCATGGATTTTTCTTGGCAGAAATTGTTCAGAGAGAGGTTTCCTTTGCCTTCCTTTGAGTCTGAGAGATTGTGACATGCCCAAGGTCACCTGGGGGGTTCTATGGTCAAGCAAGGGATTTGAACCCTGGTCTCCAGAGTCATAGTCCAATGCTCAAACCACTATACCACACTGGCTCTCAGGCTTATTTTACACTTCTTATATTTATTCAACATACCAAAAACCCATCTTTCTTCCCATCACCTAACTGAGGGGTGGGCAAAATGCAGCCTATGGAGTGCACCAAAGTGCTGATCCTGAAGTCCCTAGACACTCTGGAACTCCTTATATTTCTAATTCTTTTATAGATTTTAGTGTGATTTTCCTGTTCCCAAACCAGCCCCAGAAATCCAAAACCAGCATCAAATGTGGTAGTTTACCTCCCCCCACCTCAACGCCCCCAGCCCCTGGGGGAGAAAAGAAAACAACTGAAAAGCCATCTGAAAATCATTCAAAATAGCGGCTGGAAGTGATATCACTTCATGTATGGTATGCTGAAATGCAAATTCCAGACTTTGGAATGGCCTGCCGGACGAGATCCGTCTCATTACTACTCTTCCTGCTTTTAAAATGGCAGTAAAGACAGATCTCTTCCGACAGGCCTTCCCAGAGTAACAGGTGTCTGTTGGGAGATGAGTTTTTATCCTGTTGGTATAACTGATTCCTGTTGTTGTTTTATTGCTTTATGGTATTGTTATATTTTAACTTTTCTTTGGTTTAATTCTGTTTTAAGGGGTTGGGAGGGTGGATTGTGGGATGAGGGAATGTTTTAACTTTGTTCGTTTTTAAATGCTGTAACCCGCCCCAATTGCCACGCAGGGGGGCAGGCTATAAATAAAAAATTATTATTATTGTTATTGTTATTATTATTATTATTATTATTATTATTATTATTATTATTATTATTATTATTATTATTATTGAGTGTGGGCCCCTGGGGGGCACGGGAGGAAAAATTACCCTCACCCTTTCTGCAGGTGTGCACTTCTGATCTAACTGAAGAACAGATAAATGAAGTTTTCAGATGGTCTTCCATTTAGTCACTGACCAGACCTGCTCAGTTTTAGAAAACTGTCCCCTATGAACAGGCCCTTGAGCCGCCCTGATTCCTATAAGGAAGTCCTTCTAAATGGAATGAATTCTGCCCATCCATGGGCTATGCTGCCCTATATTCATTAGTTTTGCATACAATCAAGAACACACACTTCATACTAATAGGGAAAAAATGGGAAAGGAAAGAAATCAAATAGCAGCAATGACAAAAAAAAAAAAATACCCAGACATCAAGTATTTATATAAAAATGAAATATTTCATTAATTACACAGAGATACCATTTGCAGCTATTTTTCTTTAAATTCTCAGTCAAACGTGCAGATTTGCTGCACTTTGAACTGTGCTGCACCAGTAATTGTGGATAAATATTTTAAATCAGTCTTGAATCACTGTACTCCATATAGACCAAATGAACTAATAAGTTGTTCATGTGTGGACTACTAATGTAGTCCTCCCCCAACCCTCCCCTCACCCTGACAGATGGAGTGCAGTCTTGAAAATTAGATACATTTGCTACTGGGAATTTTCAGAAGAGAGATGACTCCATGTGTATTTTTTTAATATTAAAAAAAACACCCTCCTATTTATAAAAGAGCCAACCATAACAGCCTGTGCGTGCTTGAAATAAAAGGAAAATATAAACAAACTAAAGGAGATGCTTAACCAATCACTGCAAAATTGCTATGAGCACATCATGGGAAATGTTACTCTCTTCCAAAGGCACATTCTAGGGATTTTTGGCAAGGGTGAAGCCATGATGAACTCTTTCTACTGTCACGGCTAAGCAAAGGACGTCATTACAATATTTCCACCCAAGAGGTATATGGCAAGTAGTGTAATTTCACAGCAGTTTGCACCTGTAGAATCCCCCCCTTCCTTAGCTGTAAGTGAGATGGCGGACTTGTTTTTATTTTGGTGTGAAGAAATTAATATTTACCTTACATACTTTCACACCTAATATGATAATGAGCTCCCCACTCTGGGAACTCACTTTTCCTGGACGCCTGCCAAGGTTTCTGCTTGAGCATTTAATGGAGACAACTCACAGTGTTGTAGTTAGGTAAGTGTTCAATACCTTAGGTTTTAGAAATGGTCTCTCACTAATGCAAGACCTCCTGGGCACCATGATGGTGACCCACTTATGCTAACAGACAGTCCTATATTAGATATACTGTCTTGTGTTGATAAGGAAGACAACCCAGTTGACATGAACAGACATCTCCTTGTTAAGGTGACACCTTCTGATCTCTATACTTAAAAAATAAGAAGATACTCAGAATGTATCAGCTTCCATGAAAAATACTACACTTTCATATTAAAACCAAAGGACCTTCAGTGAGATATTGATCAGAACTTCTCTTTAGGGCTTTCATAACACTGGATGCATAATCAAAATCATTCCATCTTATTCTGGATTCATTAATCCAGAAAAAGAAATATGCTTTTGGGTTTCTTTCTCTGAACCACACAAATAGAAACTCCTACTAGAAGCTGTGGTATTCAAGCAATCACTTCAAACTGGATTCCTAAGACCAGGGGTAGGCAACCTTTTTTCTGCCTGGGCTGGTCCCCCGAAGTCCTTCTTTTCACTGGGCCGGGGGGGGGGGGGGGGGGAATGGCGGCGCATGCATGCACCCCCCTGCGCACGACCCCCCCTGGCGTGCCGCCACTGCAGCACGCGCGGCCACAACCACCACCACGCATGTTGCAGCCGCCATTTTGATTTTCAAAATGGCCACGCATGTCGCGGCCGCCATTTTGATTTTCAAAATGGCCACAAATGTCGCGGCCGCCATTTTGGAGAACAAAATGCTGGCTGCAAGTGGCAGCCACCATTTTGATTTTCAAAATGGCGGTCACAACTCGTTCGCGCATGCGCAGTACTCCTGCGCATGCACAAACGCGTTGTGGCTGCCATTTTGAAAATCAAAATAGTGGCGATGGCGCGCGCGGCCGGACAGAGGCAAAAACATGCCGTGGTGGCGGTGCATGGCAGTGGCAGGGGTCTCCCTGGGCCAGAACCAGCCCGGGGGCCATAGGTTGCCGGTCCCTGCCTAAGACCATCCAAGCAGGAACTTCTCAGTTCCCTTAAAAAGTCAGAACAAGCTCAAGGATGCAAAATACAGATCTGCACACAGAGTTTTCCCTCAGTATTTAACATGGGCAGAAATCATGTGGCTTCCAGATGTTGTTGGACAGCAAGTCCCAGGAGTCCAAACCACTGGCCATGGTGGCTAGGGACGTGCAGACCAGCAACCTCTGGAGGGCTGCATGATTCCCAATTCTGTTTTGAAAGAACAGGATATCCTTTACTGAACTGGAACCCCAGGTGCATTATTTATGGTGCAAATCCACATTTTAACCTGTTGACTTTGAGAACTAAAAGGGATACTTTTATATATTAAGTAGCAATTAATCTCACTTTGATGTTTTTAAGGAGAGTTGACATCATCAAAAGGGGGGTCCAGCTATTTCAATACACTTTACCCTCATTGCTGTCGTTGCCTCTTCATTCTCTGGGTTGGACTCAACAGTTTTGATGAAAATTGTATGTTAGCACCCAGAAAGGTTTCTTGAGAGAAATCCAACCATTGTGTCATGCATTCACACATCTGTGAGGCTCACAGGGTGCTTCTGAGAAATAAAGTGCATACAAAACAATGCATATATTTTATAATGCAATCTAGCAAAATGCAGACAATTGAAATACCATAGAAACACGCTTTAATCAATGGGGGGAGTTCCATGAATGAAATAAATTGCACAAATAAATGCACACATTAGGAAAATGGTATTAAAAATTGCATAAGCTGCAATGGGGGAGGAACAACCCCACAAATGTCTAATCTGCACTATGGAAATAATGCAGTTTGACACCACTTTGCCATGGTTCAATGTTATGGAATTCTGGGATCTGTAACTTTTTCAGACAGTTCTGGTGATACAACAAACTATAAATTCCAAGATTCCATAAGATTAAACCATGGCAGTCAAGTTGCAGCCAAAGTCTTGAAATATGAAATAAGAATAGGATGAAAATGTAGGCAGAGTTCTAGCAAACTCGATGACATTAAGACTGATAGATGTTCACATCTCTAAGATTGTATCCTCAGCATCATTTGTTTCATCCTGCCCCAACATATTTGCCAAGAGCCAAATCAATTCAATATTTGATTACATTCAAGAAATGATCATAAAACTCTTCTTAACTTGATCAACAAAATACTGGGGGTTGCAGATAGCAAGTCCATATTCAGTTTTGTCTGTGGAACTGCAAATAATTTAACTGCTCTAGCAAGAACATTTTTATTTAGTTCCAGCAAAGATATAAAACAGCAAGTGGAAAGTTTAGCTTTTTTAAAAAAAAATAGTTGAGCAGAAAAGTTACTAGATAGTTTAAGCTTTATTGCCTATTTTCCCCAACATTGAATTAAACTAAGACTGCTGTCTCTATTGCCTTAAATTATTAGCTAATTAGCCTTGACTAAGGGACAACAGTGTGTTTGTGCTGGCAAGCTGTGAAAAGAACACTTCAGCTGGGAAGATCAATGGCATTTTTGTCTGGCTTACAATAAGAAAGCTGCTGGCCTGGGTTATGAGTTTAAACCATCTTTCATTTGGCAGACAAGGCAGTGATACTGACAGATCAATAGAGTAACTTTATGACAGGCTGCAGCTTCTGGAGATGGTTGAATCATATTAAGGAGGCATCATTCGTAAAACTAGGAAAGAACGTTACAGAAAAGCTACCTGACCTTTGGAGTTATTAACACAGTCCTTATATAACAATAAAGCTATCGAAAGCATACATCCGAGCTCTTCCAAGATTGACTCATCATTTGATGACAAGAGAGTGGGAGAGGAAACATTACCAATGCCCCATTAGGAACAAGTCAGGATTTGCCTGAGAGAAACAAGTCTGGGGCCCCCACAAAAGATCACAGAAAAGTACAGTGTGATGATGCTGTTGCATACAAGCACATACGTTTGCACTGTTGACTCTAAAGTGGTCTTGTTTCCTGCACCCTGCAGCATCTGAATGAAAGGATTCATATAACAAATGAGATTCCAACAAAATATCAT